GAGGGCGGCCTCAGCCCGGCCGCAGGCTGTCCTTTAGGGGTGGGCTTTTACCGGCATTTTATCCTGTGACAACGTTAGAGAAGAGACCCCCAGTGCCCCATGGCGCGTGTTCGCCATTTCCCATGGTCAGGCTTATCCCTGTGCCTGGCTCACACCAAAAATACATTTCCTCTCAGGGTGACAGTGTCGAGGCTTGTTTACATGCCTTGAGGGATTAGCATTTATTCTTGCCTAGTTAGTTTTGCTCGAGTAGGGGGTTTCGGTGTCTCCCAGCTGAGGGTGGGCTGGAGCGGGATCCCTGTCCCGCACAGACGGCTGGCCCTGGCGCACGGCGTCCCTGCCCCGCACACACAGACGTTGGGAGAAGTGAACACTATGGCCACCTCACCCGACTGCATCGGTCCCGAAGTCTGGAGGCCAAAACAGGCCCCCCCCGGGATGGTAACGGCGGCCAATTCAACCCGCGTCTGTCTGACCCCGCCGGAGGCAGGCCCTGGTGGAGCTCCGGTTGAAAGCTGGGTTACTCCTCGCACCTCTTCTGCGTTACAGCTGCCAGGGAGGAACACAAAGCAAAAAGGGAAAGCCTGCAGAAAGCTGACAGTGGCGATGAAAGCGCAGAGATGAAGTAAGTGTCCTCGTTTTTGCCGGGTCCTTTGGGCAGCCAGGGGCAGAACATCACACCTCAGCTCCTGGCCTTCATCTTGCCACCTGCTTTGAATCATATTTCTTGGTTACTCTCTTACAATCCTTCTGCATATCTGCATTTACCCTTCAGGGATTTTTAATCTTGTTCGAGTGAGTACTTTTGAATCTTCGTGACGAACCTGACGTAGCATTGAGAATGTTTTACTGAAATGGAGAGAAGACTAGATAGACAACTAGAGTCTACCAAGAAGTGTTTGCTTTAGTTTACGACACTGTGTAGGAAGCTTCCATTGCATTCACAGCATAACATATCTGAAGTACTCCTGAGCTGAGTAAGAGGAGGTTGAAATCTGATGAGTGATTTGCTTTGAGTGGTTTCATGATCAGAAAACAGGTCATGAGGAGAGGTATGAAGACAAACAGGATGTGATCTTAGGATGTTAAACCTGAGTTTAAATTTCATTTTACTTCCTCCCCCCCAACGTGCCTTCTTTAAAGTGCAGGCTTTTTTGGTGGTTTTTTTTTGTATAGTAGGATTCAGTTGCAAACATAATGAATTCTTGGTTTGACTCTTGGTGTTCTTCAGGATGGCTAACCTTACTATCCTCAGCATACAGCTTCCTGTAACTTAAGAGATGGGTACTGGATGAAATTGGAAACAGTTGCTGCCCATAAACATCGTTATTCCTTCAGGCTTAATCACAGTTTAAGGGCTTATTGATCATGGTTAGGCAACTGTATTCAGCACAGGTCAGACGTGTCAGTTGCTGAAGCCACTTAGGAGGAGCAGGTACCTTCTGGTTGTGAGGACAGCCAATATGAGCTTCGTGCTTAATTGCAGCAGGGAGCTCAGGCATAGCTTCAGAAATTTTGAGCATAAACAAGAGATACTGGGGTTTATTCTGATCTACTAACAAAACAAGATTGTCATTACTTCACGTTCCGTTCTTCTGTGATGTGTCCTCTAAATGCCCTGTATCGTGGTGTAGATGCTTACTGTTGCAGAGCGTAACCTGGTTTCTGTACAACTGTCACTTTTCTGTACGTTAAAAGCAATTGGAAAAAAAGCCTCAAACTCCACAGCTTTACACTGTGGCATTAAGATGACCAAGCTTTGTGAAGCTTTTTAGGGATTTGATCCTGCAAGGTTGTGAAAATGTGAAGTTTATTATGGAGCTACTAAGCTGAACAGAATGAGTCATGTTTTGTGGGCTGAACAGCACAACCAAAGAAAAGTTGTTATGGCGTAGGCTTTCGGAAACGATGGGCAGTTCAGGTGCAAAACTAAAGAGAAATAATTTTGACCTACAACACTTCTGTTTCTCTTCTGAATCAGTCACATCCAGTTTTTAAGTGCACATGCTATTTACTGAGAATAAATTTCAGTACAACTTAAGCATTTAATTAACGCCCCCCCCCCTTTTTTTTCTAGGGGGTTAAAGAAAAACCTTCAAAATACAAGCTCAGTGGCAGTGAGATAGTTTGTTTTGGAAACTGCAGACAGAAAGGCAAAAACTACCTGTGCAAAATGAAAACATAAGCCCTAAACATTGTTCCCAGCACTTAGCCACTGTGGCCAAAATCTTCTTTTCTGGGCCATTCAAGAAACAGGGTTTCTCCTTGGCCGTGTCCCAGCTAGAGATGGTGGTTTGTGCGAGAGACACGGCTCACATGCAGCGAGCTGGAGAGAACAACAGCAGCCAGAATTACAGTATCGCTGTTGTTCTCATGTTTTTCCAAAATTGTTTTGTTTCTGGGCCATCTGGGAGGTTTCAGCTATGCTCTCTTGTTGCTGAACTGAGAGTGGTTTCTGCGTATAGGGAACGCTGCAACCAGAAATCTGGCAATTGGCCTACTGGATGAGTTAAAGTGACACAGAATCTGTGTGGAAAGAGAAATAGAAACCTCATCTACTAGATGATCTGTGTTCAAATGTGCAAAGTAAAAAAAAAAAAAGGTGAGAATTAAGATAAAATTCAGTTTGCACACTTTGCTTTATGCATGCCTCGTTTATGATCAGCTCGCTGAGGAAGGGTCTAGTCTATTGTTTACCTTTCACAGAATCACAGAATAGTAGGGGTTGGAAGGGACCTCTGTGGGTCATCATATCTATGGTATTGTCAGAATAGTTGTAGTAAATATTGTAATAAAACAAGCATGACTAAGGTGAAGAGATCTGCCACAAACAGACCTAATCTGTGCTTGATTTATTTTTTTAAAACCTTCCAGACAGACACAGCGATGCTCCATTTAATTTTATAGTATTTGGAGGCTGCTTTTATTTGCACTGTGTTTTTTTCCTACCTTTCCCAGCTGAAGTAGTTGTATAGAGCCATCCAAATAGTCCCAATCTTCTGAATTATTTTCTATAATCAATTGCAGCTGTGGGTGCTTTTAAGAGGCCTGTTTGCAGTAATGTTAAAAAGTTAATTTAGGATTGATACAATTATCAAAAGCTTTGGGGTGGGAGTCAAGAATCAGATGAAAATACAGGTTGTGTATATTACTGGATTATCGTAATTTATAGCACAATTTCCAAGAAAATATTTTGAAGGCCACAGTTCTATGGTAAAAATCCAAAATAAATTCAGTTAAATGAAGGGGTTTACTGCCAATTTACACTGTTGTAAACTGGACTGAAAGAGACAAAAGCTTTTTCAATGTTTCATTTTTAAATTCCCTTCAAGTATCTTGGGGAGGAGAGTTTTCTCACATATGGGTTACCAAATTAGAAGAAAAAGTATGAGAATTAATTCGGGTGGTTGCCAAGAAAGAACGAGGGGTAAAATGACTCAGCTTCAGTGGATTTCAGTCTTTATGGTTTTAATCTTTAAAAAGAAAAAAAAAAAAGACCTGTTGAATAAAGCTCTTTGATTTGTTTACACAGGGATGTGGAAACAAGCTTCACCCAGCTCTGAAGTAAAACAGGCAGGACAGCATGGTGGGAACAGTTGCGAACCCCACCCACTTGAAGGGAATATATTTCTGTCCTGAGCTGAGCCCGGGTGCTTTCCATAGCAACACATTCTGAGTTAGAAAAATAAAAACAAATATATTGCTGAAACTCAATAATGAGCCATTTCAGCTTTAAAGGACCATGGCTCTGCTTCAGCCACTTGAATTGAGTATTGCAGGGGAAATCCAAGATAGGTTGATTTCTTTGAAGCTTTTTAGTATGAATCAAGATTTTGGAGGATAACAGTGATGGCTGGCTGAGGCCCATCGTGACAAGGTGTTGAAAGTTCTGCTGAGTTGATGTCAGATTTGGACTGTGATGTAGGCCAGTTTATTGATAAACAGTCCAGTGCTTTTTATCAAACGGATGTAACTGGCAGAGTACTCTAAGCTCAACAGGAAAGCAGCAGCAGATTGTGAAATGCTGAGCTTTTCTCTGCTTCCAGAATGTTTGGCTGAGATAGGAGCCTGGATGAGAAGGCAGTGGCTGAGGCTAAGTCCAGATAAGGAGGAGGTAATTCCATTTGGCAAGGTAAAGCAAACAGAGGCTTTATCTTTTCTGTATAAAAACATTTGCTAAAATTATGCATGCAGGCTTAGTAAGTCAGCATGGAAAGGGCTTGGAAGATATCTCATGGACAATTTGTGTAGTTACTGCAGTTGTACGTGCAGTCCTGGAGATGGCACACCTGGATTGTCTGTCATTGCTGTACTTACACAATTCTTTAAATAAACCTTGAAAGATTCAACTTTTCTTGTAACTTCTTCTAAAAGGATAAGAAAAAAAACAAAAGCCATTCAGGTCTGCTCTGGCAATAATTTCTAGGGTGAGGGTATACTCCATAGACTTAAAATCCCTGTGAAAAGCATTTCCAGCAACTCCCTCTCCATTGTATTAAAAGGTGTCTGAAACCACTGCCTTCATGTGTTGTTACAAGGTACCACAGGGCTTGATACAGACATCCACTGCAATAGTCCGCATGACTAGGAATTTTTGCATATACACCATGATTCTCAGCAATGTTTTTGGTTCTTTCCCAGTGAAGTGCAGAAAAATACTTTCACCCTTGTTATCCACTGCAATAGTCCGCATGACTAGGAATTTTTGCATATACACCATGATTCTCAGCAATGTTTTTCGGTTCTTTCCCAGTGAAGTGCAGAAAAATACTTTCACCCTTGTAGGGACACAACGGCAATCTGGAAAAGGCATTAGAAAGTGTCAGCCTTTGAATTGTTTAACCTATGTCCTGACAGCAAATGTCTGAGTTAACTGCCAAGGGAAAGCATCACCACCCAGTTCGGTGAGAGACTACTGTGTGCGGGAAGGGTGAGGGGAGAAAAATAAGAGATGAAATTTGGGAAAAGGGTGAACTTTACATCGAAGACATTATCTAAGATCTCAATAGTCCAATTTTACCGTTTCTTTCATCAAGGTTTTTGTCGCTGAAAGGGCTGTTTGTACTGTCAGCTGCGAATAACGGAATTGAATGGAATGTGCTTTTTGCTTTGACTGCGTGTTGCGCGCAGGGTCTAGCCACCAGATGGAGGAACCCACAGGCTGGCTTATTCAGAGCTGGCGTCTACTCCCTGGCAGCCGAAACCAGGCATTCCAAAGATAGTGCTTTCCTGAATCAGTTTGTTTTGGCATTTCCTGCATGAATGTCATGGCGTAGAGAAAGATATAAGTAATAAATAGCATCTGCCCTAAATTGAAAAGAGGAATGTGAGTAAAAAGAGTTAGACAGAAATTGCATTTAATTTAATCAGCAGTGGTCTTACAGTGGAGCAGCCTCGTATGAACTCTTCCTGGAATGTTTGTTACCACGAAGTGAGTTTTGGCTTCTCAGTATAGTTTCCCATGGACGAGTGTCCACAGCAAAAAAAGCTGGCATCATTTAGTCCCTTACTGGGAACTGCTGGACCAGGGGTAACCCTAAAATAATTCGTTTCTCCATCACATGTGGAGATCTAGAGATCTCTGCTTTTCACCAACATACCGTCTTACTCCACTGAACAATTTCAAAGAATTTTCCAAGAGTAACACCTTCACTGGTGAAACAGAAATGTAACACTTAATTGTAATATGTTCTATTCATGAAGTTTTTAATTCTATAGGTCATAAAGTTTTGTGCTATGTTAATACTGAACAAGCAGAAGAGTTAGTAACTGTGTAGAGGGATTCTGTGCTGCTGGTTCATGAGGTTCATTGCTTTTTTAATGAAGGATGTTGATTGGAAGTCATTGGACTGGCAGTGAATATTCACTCTTAGTTTGTGTCTTCAAATATAAAAATAATGACTAATAAAAAGTAATAGGTCATAAAGTTTTGTGCTATGTTAATACTGAACAAGCAGAAGAGTTAGTAACTGTGTAGAGGGATTCTGTGCTGCTGGTTCATGAGGTTCATTGCTTTTTTAATGAAGGATGTTGATTGGAAGTCATTGGACTGGCAGTGAATATTCACTCTTAGTTTGTGTCTTCAAATATAAAAATAATGACTAATAAAAAGTAATGAATAAAAATACAGAGAAATGCCAGAACTTTTTAACCACAATTACAGTGGATTCTCTGGATTTCCACTCTGAAGCAGTAATTCATATCACTGCATGTGATGAGCAGTACTGTGTGAGCCCAAGCATCACTTACTGGCACAGGTTTTGGGTGTAGCTGTTGAATCTCCAACACTGAAAACGTTTGCTGATAAACTGCAGATAAAGGAGTGATACAGACATTGCTTGTGACTATTGGAGTATTATTTTAATGGGAAAAATGATATTTCTGAGCATGCTTGTAAAGAAAAAAACTGGAAAGGGAGGAAGTAAAAGTTTAAGAGACTTTCAAACCATACTAAGCAGCTCTGCATAGGTCAGAAAAGGGAAAAATACTGTCATGGAAGCATGCGGGACTCATTTAAATTTTGCATTATGAATTAGGCTTTTTCTTCTGATTGTTTCACTAGTAACACAATTCAATGTTAATCTTGCTTCTACCAATTAGGCACCTGCTATAGATTTAAAAAAACAATGTTTTAAAATGAAGGCGAAGCGCTGTATTAACAACTTATGCTACTAGTTTGAAGTACCTATTTTGTTTTAAGCTTTCAGAATACAATTCACATTTTTTATTCTGAGTAGCAGAAAAAAAAAAAAAGAGAAAATGTAGACTGAGAACTCTGAAAAACATTATACCTGAATCTGAAAAGCAGTGTACAAACACTGTATAAGAACTGCTCTGAATTATTTCTGATGTGCTGAGTGACGGGGAACCTTGTGTGGTATATATTACATAAAGCTTCCAGGTCTAGGAATATAGACAGCAGAGTGCACGCTGCACTTGGCAGCTAATCTGCCAGGTTTTTGGAAATGCTAGTCACTCAGTGGCAGAGTATTTTGGCGTCATCTTCAAAAATGCCTTTACAAGTATAGAGCTGTTAAACACTGAAAGTTACTGAATATTTCTTCTAGCTTTCAACATAAACAAAGCCTTGTGCTTGTCTCCATTCTGCTTTGTTCTGTATGTCACAAAATCAGCTGTTTTCTCATCAGTTAAGTAAATATAATAATTTATTATTATAATTATAATAATAATTTAAATAGAAATGAATCACATCTCAGTAGGGAGGGATCTGGGTGTTCTTTGGGAAAAGTTAGTAAGCTGAATACATTTACAGAGGAAAAAAAACCAGGAAGCAAAAGGATTTCCTAGATGTAAAAAATTACTCTCTACTATTGCTCCAGCTGACATTATCTGCACCCAGGCAAGTAGACACGCAGCCTCTGGCTGGCCTCATCTTATTTGTAGATAATCAGCATTTTAAATAACTAAATCTTTGACATCTTCTAGTGGTATCCTGCATTTCAGGAAATGATTGATTGTAGTTCTCCTATACACCACAGTTGTATGGTTTTGTGGTTTGTACTTCTATTAGGCCTCATTTTCAAAATGAAACATTGTAGTGTCTATTAAATTCAAAGTCACTCAGAATCAATTTGCACTAGATGTGCTTTGAATTACACTTACATAAACACTTTTCACTGAAACCAGTCAAAACTTTGCAGGATGAAATTAAAAATTAATTGTTGTATAGTCTGTTCCTTCATTGTAGTGACAAGTGAAAATCACAAACAACCCAATAACACTGACACAGTAGAAATAACAAAGAACAATGTTTTAATGCTGCACACAGAGATAAATCATGCAATTCAATAAGGTACTTATGTCTCTAGTTGCTTTCATTCTATTCACTCTTTTTTCTTTAATCTTTCAGTCACATTCTCAAATCTCCCTCTTTGGTTAGCTGACAAATAAGAAAGAAGAGCAACCCTTCACTATGTTCGTCGTGTTTGTACCTCTGCATCTCTCATGCAGGTATCCAGTATGATTTTGATAAAATGAAATACACTTACATGCATCATTCCTGGTTTTACGAGTGCAGGCAGCCAGACTGCAGAGTCGTGCTGGCACTGCTGGTGGACTCCAGAGAGTTTTCAGCTGCTTGTATAAATGCACCAGTGTATTTGCCTTCACGCTATTCATTGCTATCACCTTGGCGCTTAAAATCTTCAGTTCGTGCCAGAGGAGCTTTCCAGAGTCTAGCGACCTGTCAACACAAAGTAGAGGAAAAAATCCTGTGGAGATGCAGCTTCAAGATAACTGAGGGGTCTCCAGACCTACTTAGAAAAAAATTTGAGAGCACCCTTTCCTGGTTGGAGAGGTGGAGCTAACCAAGTGGTTAATTTTCAACTTGTCCCTGGAGTCGCTTCTTCATTGGCTCTACATTTTGTTGGAGGGCTGGCTGGTTGATGATTATTCTACATGTGCTTTCCAGGTTCTTTCTCATCTGGCTCCAGGAACACCGAAGGGCTACACAAACCACTCTTTTGTGTGCAAGGAGAGGTTTCTTATCATTTCTTCATGCATACATTCTTTGAATTTGAATAGTTGTGTATTTGAATACTGATAGCTAAGAATTGCTACTATTAACAGCTGTAATTCTGAGGACTGGTGACAGCTCAAACTGAGGAATTCACAGAAATCTCGTAGATATACAAGGCTTGCCCAGGAGAGCAGGAGGGGGAGCTGCCTCCTGCAGAGGAGTATTTTAGCTCCGAGCACACAATACATTACAGCCTCAAGTAGCTTCTGAGTTAGAGCTGTAGTTTCTCAGGCCGAGCACAGAAACACAGGCAAGCAATTCATTCTCTTCTCATAATGTTACAGATTATAAAAGGCTGAATGGGAATGAAGATGGAGACCCATTAGGAAAGGGTGCCTGGGCACACCAGGACAGGGGAGCGGGGAGCTGAGGATGAGCCCAGCCCAGGCAGAGCCCTCCCCAGCGGGGTGCCTGCCCCCCACCCAGGCCCAGCACAGCAGGCGGAGCGGGCTGCTGGTGAAAGGGTCCATTGGCAGTCCCAAACACTGCCAGGGACAAACCGGGTCCAAAGTCCAACCAGCGAGCCCAGGCAGGAGCAAAAGGAGACAGAGCCAAAGACAAGCAACAACAAGGGTCCAAAGTCCCTCCTAGAGACAGGGCCAAAGACAAACCTGAAGACAAGTGCCAAACAACAGAGCTTAGGGGCTCAGGCCTGGGCCTAGCTGGCTTCTGGCCCGTGGGCAGGGCTGTGGGTGGAGGCTGCAGGTGAGGGCCATTAAAATTTGTTGGTGGCCTTTGTGACAGAACAAAAGTATTGTGGGACCTTTAATAATTCTCATGTAAGTATGTGCAAAATCCACCTGATTATTTTCCTCCATTAAGTACACAGGAGGGCATATTTTGAAAGCTACAGAATCTATAAACAACAGAGCAAGCAGAAATGATAAACTATTAACATTCTGCCATTAAGAATTTGCCATTAGTAATCACTCCTTTCTGAATCCATATATTTACGCATGAGCTATTTTTCAATAGTTCTTTGTTTTTACTTAACAAATTTTGGTGGTTTGAATTAGAAGCATATTTGCTTGATGATATTTTCATTACACATATGTAGGTCTGTCATCTCTTATCACACAGGGTGTAAATGCAAGGCTCAGGCTTCAGGAATCCTCTTTAGTATCCTAAAGTGGCAAGCTTATCTGTGCTATTGACGATTCCGAAACCTTTAGAAGAGTCTTTCTTAATGCTTGTCACCTCAGCTGCCTGCTTCAGAGTATCTAAGAGCAAGCCATTTTCAGCTAGGGGTTCTGCCTGAAGAACTGCAAAATCAAACCTCTATTGTTACTCATAATTGTGGGCAATTACATATGTGGAGCGTGACTGTATACAATGGAAATGTGCTTACTTTGTCTTAACAGAAACTAGAGAAGTAAAAATCTAGACATTTCTGTCACTACCCATCTGACTTTTGCTGCAAGTGCGTCCCAATCAGACAGATAAGATCAATATTTGTTTTCTTTCTGATGTTTACAAGAGGATTGCCAGTACTTACATTCTGGTTAACTTCAAATGAATGCTGTTACTTGCAGAGAGAAAAGTACATCCCTGATTTAGTGTTTCAAGAAATCTGATTCTCCTGGCATCATGCTTGCAGGGGTGTTCCTGTCCTAATATTGTCTCACTTGCAAGATTTGGAAGTCAAAGCCAACAATTCAGAAAAAAATACAGTCCTACAGTTTTACTGTAATTAAAAAGATATCAGGTGATGCTGTGAAAAGCCGGAGTTGAAGACTCAGTAGTCAGAGGGCTATGAAGCAGGGATTCTTTACAGCAGCACCAGGCACACGGGGGATCTCTCCTCCAAACGTGCACGCCAGACACCCTGTCATTTCAGGTTAAATACAATCACAATATACATATTCATTCTATTTCCGAGAAATGCTTAGCATATTCATGACTTTTCCAAGAACTAATTAGCATATGTTAATATCTTTCACGCATGTCTGTTAGCATCCTCGGGTGGTCTTCGGGGGTCTCAAGGTGAAGGCTTATACTCCTCATCACAGTGTCTGCTGGTTGACCTTTGTTTCTGCGCAGACTCAGTTTTAAGATCACGTATCCCGTGTCCTTCCAGGTTGTTTTGCTCCGGTCTTGTTGCCCTCTTGGTGCCTCTTTATCTCTGTAGCTTGGTACCTCTGCCCTCCCAAGGCTGAGCTGTCTGGGGTAGAATTATTGAGGAGCCTCTCTCTCTTAGAGCTTTCCTGTCTTCCCAAAACAGCAAGTCCAGTTTGTCTAAGTAGTGTTATTGAGGAGCCTCTTTATCTCAGAGCTTTCCTGTCTTCTCAAAACAGCAAGGATCTAGTTTAGTTTAATTACAATCACTCTGGTAAGTGGAAATTTTACATTTACAGGTATCACAGGAAAGTGATTTCATAATTAACATTTTTGTTACCTAGTTATTGTGTAACAGCTGACAAGATGATCAGTCAAGTAGTGGGAAGCTGCCTGGGTGGCACTGCTGCTGAGGAGTCCATGTGAAACCTCTGTGGAGTAGCTAAAAGTCTCACCTAGGGCAGCTTTCACAAAGCAGTCAGGTCATTGCTGACTGGGCTTTAACACTCATTTCTCTGTGGATTGGCTTGCACTTCCCATGGGTTACCTATTACTTCAGCCTAAGGGAAGCTTTTCTTTGATGTCCAGATTTTGCTTGGACACTTAGTAATGCGACAGAGCTCACCAGCCTGCTAACCACCTCTGCTCCCTCCAGTTTTTCGTTCTCTCTCCTGCATTAGGGTTCCCCAAACAGCACGGAGAATTCCAGATGTGTCCTCACAAGTGCAGAGTGGTGGGGAATAGTCACTTGATGTGCTGGCCATGCTGTTTCTAATTTAGCCCACGATGTCATTAACCTTCATCACTGCAAGGGTGCATTGCTGATACATGTTCAGCTTGTCCTCCAGGATCTGCAGTGCTTTTCTCCAGAGTTTTTCACCCTAGCAGTCAGTCCCCAGGTTGTATCAAAACATGGGATTATAGCATCCCGAGGGCAAGACTCAGCATTTGCCTTTGTTGCATTTCATGAGCAGCCAGGACTGCTCCGAACGGTAGCCCTGCTGTCCTGCGTATGACATGTTACATGGAAACTTGCTGAGGGGACATTCTGTCACGCTGGCCACTGATGAAGATTTACCCTTAGTTCATTTTACCTCTCACACCTGAAAAAATGGGGTTACATTGCAATAATTTTAAAAGTGTCTAAACAGGTGTAGGTCAAGAACTAGGAGGTGGTCAAATTCTGCTTAGAATAATAGCATTAATGATACTTTGATGCTATGTAACATTTTGTGTCTGGATTCCTGAAAAAAAATGTATGAAGGTGGGGGCTACACACTGAATGAAAAAGCAGTTGTCAGGCAATCCTCAGTCTGAAGAACAGGATAAAATCCTCTAAAACCAGTAAGTGTGATGAACTCCCCTCCAGGCTTTTGATAGTCTCAGAGGATTAAAAAAGACTGATGATGTTAATGGTACCTGACCAAGTAAACATGGTCTGTGGCAAACCTGAACAAAGCTGGGCAAACTAGCAAATACTGGGCAAACATACCCGCTGCGTAAAAGAGGTGAAAGGGCAGCAGAGAGACAGCTGGGAGCGTGATCCTGGGAAGATCACAGTCGGGCAAAGTGCAAATACAGAGCTTGTTAGAATGGCAGGTTTCTGAGAAGGGGAATAGCCTCCTATCGTTTTTTTCCGTGATGTATACAGGGAGGTGGAACAGTGTGTACACAGACATTGAGATCATGCCTGACCCTTCTCACCTTATTTCTCAGACTGCCAAAAATGACCTTACAAAACCATGAACTTTGAGCAGCTGGATGACCAGATGTGTAATAATGTTTTTCTCTTTGCTGTGGAAATTCAAGGCCTTTTCTTCCATCTTCATTCACGAAAATTAGGAGTATCTTCATTGAATGAGATGGAGTTTACTCCTTGTAAAACAGAAGTGAGATCAGAGTCACAACAGAAAATGTCTGTGTCTTGCCCTAAGTCATAGAGCTAGCTGAAGTAGGTTCAGGAGCAAAACCCACTGGATCCTGACCTGTTTTCTGTAATAAAGAACAATTCTGAAAATGGACATGGTGTCTGAAAAGTAAGTGATGAGGAAGTATGTGCTTGGAGGAGGAAAACTGACAACAGATTTCAACAGCAGAGAAAGTTTCTGTTGATAAAAGGAGAAATGCTACGGCAAGTTAACAAATAGCATTAACATTACCATTGTTGAAAAAATGCATTTTATGTAACTGTTAATTAAGCATCACTACGTCACAAGATGGTGTGTGCTGTGTTCACAAGGATGTGTTTGTCCTTCACCAGTTGTAAGAGTTAGTATACAGAAAACGAATAAAGTAACTCAGACAGAAACTGAATAGGCAGGGGAACCTTGAATAGCCTCGTTGTTTTTAATAGTGTAGTATGTGATCAAGGATTTTATCCATGGGAAAGAAAATTATTCCTATAGGCTTCATATGGCAAATACCCCGGAGTTACTTCTGTGCCCTGATCACATCTTTTGTGTTCTTCGTGCCTTTGTTTCTATATTCTCATGCTCAGCAGTGAGTATAATTATGAAAGCCTGTCACTTGTTTAAACAAATGCTTT